ATAATTAATCGAATGGAGTTGTTGTTAATAATCAGTGGAAAATAACAGTAGATGATAAAATGTAATGATGATCAAATTCCACATTTTTCTAACTAAAAAATTGATAGAAAAATGGACAGGAATAATAATAATTCGAGTGAAGAAAACTGTAATGGTCCTCTAATTATTTATTAAAGCTGGTACAGATATTATACTATATATTTTGACCTTAAATGCACAGATTTTGTCCTATATATATAAGAATATTAAGGCTAAACTAATTACTTATGGGATTAATTATTAATAATTTTTCTTCAACAACTAACCCATCAAACGGATTAATTAAGGATTTATATAATTATTAAGCATTTTTTCTTCAAAATTAATCATTTTATACTTAATTATATTTACTTAAGATCTTGTCATTGTAGGTGAAATCCCCATTTTTATTTTGTTTTTACTCTGAAAAATCAACTACATATTTTTTTTACCAATTAAATATTCTTCATTTATTAAAAAAAAAAAATGTTAAAAAATATAAATACGGGACGTGCTTTAAATCACCCGCCCGAGTAGGAAGCGGGACAATGTGTGACCACACCAAACCTATTTGCACTTTTGCTCAATTGTTTTTCAAACACACACACACATCCACACACACACACACACACACACACAAAATGATATCACAAAAACAAATACAAACCCAACTAAATAATTCTTATAATTAGAGAAAAACAAAAAATCACACCATATTAATGAGGCACCCCAATTTCATCTCCTTCACCCCTCGCCAAGCCACCCTCTTGGCCCTTTGCTCCCTTCCCCTTCTCCTCCTATACGAGGCCCACAGCTTCGTGTCTCGAACCAAAACCGTAGCCGGCCACAACTTGGACCCGACCCCTTGGCACGTTTTCCCCTCGACCTCCCCCGACCAACAATCCACGCTCTCGAGAGCCTCCACAATCGTCCGTTGCACGTACCTCGTCTGTTCCGACGACAACGACGACAACAAGAACCTCCCGCCCGACATGGTGGGCCCCACCAAAATCGAGCGGCCGAATAAATGCCCGAGTTTTTTCCAAAACATACGGGCGGACCTCAGCCCGTGGGAGGCAACCGGGATCTCGTCCAACCACGTGGCGGAGGCCCGAAAGCACGCCGCTTTCCGAGTGGTGATAGTCGGAGGGGCTTTGTACGTGGATTTTTACTACGCGTGCGTGCAGAGCCGAGCCATGTTCACGGTATGGGGAATTCTGCAGTTGTTGAGGAGGTATCCGAGTCGGGTACCGGACGTGGATATGATGTTCGACTGCATGGACAAGCCGACTATCAACCGGACGGTACATGCGGACGTGCCTCTACCGTTGTTTAGGTATTGCACGACGAGCCAACACTTTGACATCCCGTTTCCCGATTGGTCGTTTTGGGGTTGGTAAGATAGATTCGTACACATACTTTAAAAAGTCGCATTTTACTTATGTTATGAATCGTCAGTTTCTTCTATTATGTCAGTCTAATCATATTTATATTGTCATAATAATACAATGTCCTGGTTGTATAGTCAAGTAGCAAATGCAAAGATGAAAATAGATACCTTTTATGGAAGTATGAATTGAACATGACATAATTACTTTTGCTACCAAAGCCCGTTTATAGGAACTATATTTCATAAGGCTACTTACTACTATTACCACCACGTCAAAATATATCGTTTGATAATATTAGTATGAAGTTCTCTGTTCACGGTCTGCGATCGATACAGACCTGGAAAACGATCAGGCTAACTCGCACGAGAATTTGTTATTATACCTAACCATAGAACCGTTACTCTTTTCACAACTATGCATGTTTTTTTCAGGACAGGTCAGAAATAAACATCGGGCCATGGGAAGAGGAGTTCAAGAGAATAAAAGAAGGTTCTAGAAGACGAAGGTGGGTGAGCAAACGGCCCTTCGCCTATTGGAAAGGAAACCCAGACGTTGTCTCTCCCGTTCGCACCCAACTGCTCGAGTGTAACGATACCCAGAAATGGAATGCACAAATAATGCGTCAGGTATTATAATTGATCCACACTTTAAATTATTTTGATATCAAATATAGTATTTGCATTACATTCATTCATCAAAATAATTATTATAAGTTAATAAATAAACACTAATTAGCATTGTTTAATTGTCCGATTATTGGAAATATATTAATCAGGACTGGGGAGCAGCCGCCCGAGGTGGTTTTGAGGACTCTAAGTTGGCTAAGCAGTGTGCTCATCGGTATGTAATTCTGGGAAATGCTACGATCTCGTTACGGAACCATTATGTCGGGATTTTTTAATCGTTAGATCATCATGTAACCGTCAGGGATAGTTGATCTAACGTTTACAAATCCCGACAAAATAGTTCCATAACATGGCCGTAGCATCTCCATGTAATTCTACTCTTTTTATGCATTAAATTGGAAAAAAAAAAATAGTAACACACTTAAATTTTGATTAAACTTAAAAGGAAATATGGCCTCGTATTTTATTTTTTTTTTTTCCCATAAAATTCGATACAATGAAATAAAAATCAATTTAAAAAAAATTCGTAGATACAAAATCTACGCCGAAGGCTACGCTTGGTCCGTAAGCATGAAGTACATACTCTCGTGCGGTAGCTGCACGTTAATCATCGCCCCACAATACCAAGACTTCTTTAGCCGCGGCCTTGCGCCACACGTGCACTATCTCCCGATCCCTTCCGAAGACATTTGCCCGGCCATCAAATTCGCGGTCGACTGGGGCAACTCGTACCCGTCTGAAGCCGAGTCGATCGGGCGGGCGGGTCAGGAGTTCATGGCGGGACTTACCATGGACCGTGTTTATGACTACATGTACCACTTGCTCGTGAAATACTCAAGTCTACAAAGGTTTGAGCCCGCCCGGCCATCGAGCGCCGCGCGAGTTTGTGAAGAGTCTGTGCTTTGTTTTGCGGACGAGAAGCAAAAGGAGTGGCTTCAGAGGTCGGTGGCTTCGCGTGCCTTCGATCCACCGTGCTCGATGGATGTTAGTTAGCTGTTTATTATTCGGTTGTTGCAACGGGAGACGTTAATTTGTTTTGTATGTTGTTATGGTCTTTGTTCTTATGGGACTGGTTTATGGATACCTTTTTGGCTGAATGAAAAGAATAGACATATTAGCTACTAGACATAGTAGCTATTCTTGAATGAAAAAATGGTATATGATTTGTTAAAATTCACAATCAAGACAACCTTATTTTATATATATATATATATATATTGGTATATATTGGAACCAATATTGATTAAGCTGAAACTTAGAAAAATCACATGTTGCTTAGTAAACATGCGAGTTCGACACCTTCAAGCCTTCTTTTACAAGGGAAATGCTATGGTATCGTTACGAAATCATTCCATCGGAGTTTATAACCGTTAGATTAACTACCTTCGATAATTACATGATGATCTAACAGTAACAGACCTCGACGAAATGGTTCCGTAACGAGATCATAGCACTTCCCTAACTCCGTAATCGATAAGTGCCACGAGCACAAATTCCATTTAATTATTAATTAAATAATAGGGTTAATTGTTAAATAAACCTTAACCTTTTTGCGTTTGGCAATTTTATCCCAATCTTTGGGTAATTACAATATAATCTCGACCTCAATTTACTTATTGCAAATTTGGGTGCAGAGTGATTGATTTTACGGATTTGTGGATCGATTTTGTGTCCAAGTCTTCCACTGACACGAGTTTTATGTCATCCACGTAGAAAATTGACAATATCTACGTATTTCATGTATATCCACGCACAAAGCCGAAAATTCTACGTCAATGTAAACTACCAGTGATGAGTATCCTCCTAAATCTGGAGTGAACCGATAAATATAAGCTCCGATCTGTTCAACCGCCTTCAAATCGACCAGTTTTTTTGAAGGTCCAACCGGTTTTAAGTTCGACTTGCAATAAGTAAATCGAGGTCAGATTATATTACAATTACCTAAAGTTTGAGATAAAATTGTCAAACGCAAAAAGGTTAAGTTTATTTAGCCATTAACCCTAAATAATATCCTCTATGCCATATTTTATAAAAAAATGGGATAAAGAGTGAGACTGAAAAGGAGGTCCTTTATAGGATCCATGGCTCCTACAAAAATGTGGAGAGGGTCACAGTACAAAAATCTACGCTCTGTCAATAGTGCTAAAGGGAACCACCACACGAGCCCACCACAGGATTTATAATCTAGCCATCAAATCCATTTATCAATGGCGGAATTTGTATCAGCTTAGCTCCCAATTGCACGTATGGTTATGGTCCCTGTCCGCGTCTCATTGCACCTGCAGTCAACGTTACCTCACAGCTCCCGAATCTTCTTATTATCGGCTTCCCATTCGATTTTTGGATTACCCATCTACTCGTTAGCCGTTTTCTTCCCTTTCTGATGTGACAACGGATTGATGCCCTGTAAAAGTTTGCATCTTTTCTTGTTTTAATTCACAATTTTCGCGATTCTAGGGTTTTTTTTTTTTTTTTNNNNTTTTAGTGTCTGAGCTTCGGGGGCCGGTTGGAATCGGAAGGGGGGGAAAGGAAAGAGGGAAGGAGATATGGCGGGGAGTGGGCAGGGTATAGAGCCTGCCTTGTTGGATGACATCATCAATCGCCTGTTGGAGTCCCGAAACGCGAGGACTGTGCGGCAGGTGCAGCTGTCGGAGAACGAGATCCGTGCTCTGTGCACGACGTCTCGTGAAATTTTCTTGTCCCAACCTAATCTCCTCGAGCTGGAAGCCCCCATCAAGATCTGCGGTAAAACTTTCTTTGTTTTTTGTTTTTGTTTTTCCTTTTCTTTGGTATCCTTCTATTTCATCGCTGTACAATGGATTAGTGGTTGCTTCTTGTATGTATGCCTTGTTGTGAAAAAAATTCGCCTTTGGTGTTTATTCGGAAGAATATGTTTTTTCCATTTATTACGTTCTCCTTGGAGTTGGCTAGAGTAGGAACAAAATTAATACAAATCGCATGAAGCGTAAACAGGGGAATGTTCTTGATGGAAATTTTCTCTTGCTCAAACTGGATATGTGCAATCTAAGTGAGTGCTAGTTTTAATCTTGATTTAGTAAGTTGAGGGAAGGTGATCTGTAGACCCTAATGATATCTTTGTAACCGTAATGTTGTGTAGCTTCCCGACTGCTTGAACCCAGATAACTATATCTTAGTGCCTAGTGGGGATGTTTACATCTTAATGATGCACTTCTGATGATGGAGCAATAAGTTCAGTTATTTTCCTATATCCTTACAAAAGCTCAAAATTCTATCATTTTTTATTGAAATTTGAACTATTCTCTCGCATAACATATCTTATATTTTTATTCATTTTAGGTTTTTTCATGTGTCAAAACTGTACAGGCCAACAAGAAAATAAGATGTCTGACTTGAAAGCTGATTATATACCTCATACGTTGCTGTTGCAACTGAATAATAGTTTCTCTGAAATCTATATTTTGGTTTTTACTAATGTATACTTGAGGCGGTAATGGGAAATTTTCACTCAGAGCATGTGCCTCATGGCAATCTCATGGTTTTAGTTTTGCGTCCTCTTTGCCATGTATAATGAAAGTTACAATGTCGTTGAATCATTCATCAAACCCGAGAAATGCGTTTTTTGTGCTTCCTCTCATTTGCAATGTTGGTTCTTTTAGTCTGCACATATTAAATTTATTTTGTTGTTTAGTTAAGATTAAATGTCTATCTAAGTTGTCAAGTTAAACTAAAGGAAATTTTGTCATCCATCTGGCTGGTGAGAAATTTTACTAATTTGATTCATTAGCTTGTAGAGTATGATCCTATTACGTAGAAGATAGCATAGTACTATTCATTTGAGTGCTTGAGAATCAACATATGTCGGATTGCTTACTCCAAAAATAATTCTACTCATTAGTAGAATGGATAAAAATATTTTTCAAAATTTGTCATTGAGATTGTTAAATGATTACTACTTCCATTCATTGGCATTGATTTGTTGTGATGGTCAATAAAAAATGAATGTCTGAGATCAGAATATTTTATTTGATTTGTGTATTTTCAGGAAAAAAAAATGACTGGGCGATTTCTTTTTATTTTTATTTTTCTTGGTATGTACATTCGCATGTTTATAACACCTAGGTGGAGCCGATGTAGGTGATATCATAAATGTGAATAGGGAAAAAGACTACTCTTATGGCTGTTTGGGAGTCGGCCTGATGTAGACCAAATAGACGAACTATTTTAGTTTTGTTTCATTCTTTCACGCTTCGAAATCTCAACAAAGCAGTAGAGTAGTTTTGATCTTTCAAAATCCTCCTGTGCATTCTTCATTATTTCGCCTATTGACAATGCAACCTTCTCCATTGCTGCAAGATAACTCATGTGGCCGTCATTGCTGCATTTTTGTATCCGACAACTATCATTTTCTGATCTTTTACGCAAATCAAGAACCTTGCATTGTCTCAAATCGTTCTTTCTCACATGGGGAAGTGTAACTTGCGATGTACAGTTTCAGTTTTTCAAGTAAAGCTTTCCAACAAAAAATTGATGTTTTTTTTTTTATTAATCATATGCAAATCTCCAGGTCAGCTACACCTATTACCTAAATATCGGTGATACTGTTATTGTAAAAATAAGAGATGAAAGACACCCTTATAGCTCTTTTTTAATCTTGTTATGGATGTATGCAAAACTTCCAAATGGCTGAACCATGTGTTCTTCTCTTCTTTTTCCATCTTTAAACATATCTAGTTATTTAGGTGAAAACATGCACATGTTTTCCCACCCCCTCATCCCCTACGCTATTAGGTAAAGAAGTGCAACTTGATTTTGAAATTTTTGTTGAGTTCTCTTATTGTCTTTTTGTTAAATATAATAATTGTGATTATAATTTTTCTTTATGAATTTCAGGTGACATTCATGGACAGTATGGAGATCTTTTAAGGCTTTTTGAATATGGGGGATTTCCTCCAGAGGCCAATTACTTATTCTTAGGAGATTATGTGGACCGTGGCAAACAAAGTTTAGAAACAATCTGCCTTCTTCTTGCCTACAAGATAAAATACCCGGAGAATTTCTTTCTCTTGAGAGGAAATCACGAATGTGCTTCTATTAATAGGATATATGGGTTCTATGATGAATGCAAAAGGCGTTATAATGTGAGATTGTGGAAAACATTTACGGATTGTTTTAACTGCCTTCCCGTGGCAGCTCTTATAGATGAGAAGATACTCTGCATGCATGGTGGTCTATCTCCTGATCTAACACACTTGGATCAGATAAGAAATTTACCTCGTCCGACTGATATTCCTGATACTGGTCTGCTTTGTGATCTTCTTTGGTCTGATCCGAGTAGAGAAATTAAAGGTTGGGGGATGAATGACAGAGGAGTCTCGTATACGTTTGGCCCAGATAAAGTGGCTGAATTTCTTATGCAGCATGATATGGACCTTGTTTGTCGTGCTCACCAGGTAAATTTTAATATTTCAATCCTTTTTTCCTTTCGCCTCTGAAGAAATTTTTTTATTTAGTAAATAATTCTGCTGTGATGAAAAACGTGCTTTTCTTGAGCAGGTTGTGGAAGATGGGTACGAGTTCTTTGCCGAACGGCAGCTAGTTACTATATTTTCTGCTCCCAACTATTGCGGTGAATTTGACAATGCCGGTGCTATGATGAGTGTCGACGAGAGTTTGATGTGCTCGTTCCAGATTCTGAAACCAACCGAGAGAAAGCGTTTCTTGTGAACCAAGTTTTGATATCTGTTTTCCTCTCTTCTCTAGGAATTCGCGAGGTTATATTATATCTCTATATCTTCCAAGTTATGATTTTTCTGCTTCAGGCAGCATGTCAAAGAGAATTCGAAGATCTTCCACAGAGTTAGCTTAAGTCTGGAAGTTCCTTTTGCATGTGGATGGTTGGATATTCGGTTTGGAAATTACATTTTATTCACATCTTTGGTCCTTCTAAATTTGTTTGATGAGTTTTCTCCTTATGGCTTCTCTATTTATGTATTTCTTGCTCCTGCTCATAGGACATTTTAGAGAAGTGCTCGAAAACAGAAATGCCGGGCCATTTCTTCTTTTGAATCGAAGAATTATCCCAAAAAAAAAAAATCCATCATCAAGTGACCATACACTGCAATTTGTGTTTCTCTTTTGAAGTTTCTTGCTGAAATATTTTCTCACTGCAATTTATGATTCGACTGTGTACATACACCTGTAGATTGTGGTTCAATAGTAGATCTGTTATATGCTGAGTTGTGCCCATATTGAACGCCGCTGTTTTAACCTTCAATTTGGTAACTCAAAACCTACGTTCGGTTCTCAATTTCTTCAGTGGCCTAGCCTGTAGGTATTGAATGTTACCTATGGAACCTACAATTGTCTACGTGAAGTGACCGACTAAAAGTAAAAGCTCTTCATGTTGATTTCTATATGATTCGGAAGGCTTTTCAAGTCTTGTATCTTGTAAGAACTTTGTGTTGGCCTTCTAATGTATCTCAAACTTCTGCCCAAAAGTTAACTCCAATTATGTGGCGTTGATTGGAAAAGAAAACATCACAACCAATCGATATATGTGAAATGATACTGCACTCAATTTTTCAGGACGGCTTCTTCACATTGCCAAACGCACAAAAAAGAGTGATTGTGAGCTTATTCGAGCTTTTTCATAACTTTACTCACTTCATAAACGTCGCTTTAGAGTGTAATATGCATTGCACAGCAGTGTGATTACTCGATCTTATGTGCAGTGTTAAACTTAGCTGTGCCCCCACGTTAACAAGAAAATATGCCAAAAGACGCTCTTAGGCTCTTAAAACACGAATCAAATAAAATGTTGTGAGATCTTATCCAAGCAAATTTGCAGAAACACTAATAGTCTTTTAAAACACAAATCAACTAGTTTGGCTCGGTTCGAGCTCGGCACGTTAAAGCCTCGAGCTCGGAAGTACTGCTTTAAACGAGTTTGGCTCGACTCAAGCTCGAGCCTTAACGAGCTAAGTTTGAGCTCATTTCAAGCTAGCGAGTCGAGCTTGATTCAGCTCGATAAGACTCAAAAAGATAATTTTCACATAATTTTTTATAGTTGAGCTCATTAAAATTCGAGATCGGCTCATTGAAAGTCAAACTCGGCTCGTTAATGGTTATAAACGAGTCGAGCCCGAGCTCGATTTCTAACTCATTTATTAACCGAGCCATAATTGAGGGTGCAGGAACAAGCCTTGCTTTTCAAGATTTCATGGGGAAAATAATGAAAATTATAAATACATGTCAGACCGACCACTTTTAGATATGCTGATTCAGAATAAGAGCTTCCATTTGTGAAAAATGGTGAATACAAAAATATGAGTATATTGCCAAATTTCTGGGGAAATAATAATAACAATATTGAGAGCTGAAGGCTGGGTATAAAGAACAATGATCCAAAACAATTGCCATCGAAAATTCGGTTTGAGAGAACTTTGCTATAAAGAGCTGAATGGCTGGGAAGAAAAAGAAAGGGGCAAAAGGCCTGTGGCAGCAGTTAGTTATCTTTTGTTTATGCTAAAAAACTTTCTTAGCCGATGATCAAACTCTGGTATTGGGGCAGAAATTGATATATAGCCAACTTATTGTAAGAAAAAGATAATATGTATGACAGCAAATAATATTCAGATAAACCATGAAACAAACTCAATTTAATGAAGTCAAAAACTTTTTTTCATCACAAACCATGAAAACAAACTCAATTTAATGAAGTCAGAAACTTTTTTCCATCACAAACATGAGGTTCAGTGACAGCAAATAAACAGCATCCAAAAAAATACTCATATTAAAATAGTCGCATAATGTAGGCACTCGAGCGAAAAAGAAGAATGGAAATTACACCCGAGGGCCTGCAGGTGGTGCTCCACCGACACGCGGGGCTTGGCCTGGCTTAGGCTGGTCATCCTGTAAATGAAAGAATCCACAACACAATGAATAAATACCGGGAGACCGAGAAAAACATGTTAAAGAAAAAAGTAGCAAGTCGTCTAATAAAGGTGCCAAACATAATACAAATTACCAATATTGAAAAATGAATCAATGATAATAAAGTTAAAGGATATTAAGAATGCGACAAAAATAGAAAAAACAAATGAGGTGTATCCGTTGAAATAAAAGATTCTATGCAAATAAGCCTTTTCTGCTTCACAATTGCTAGAAATGTCATATCCACAATCCATCATCAGTCAACATGTAAAGCATGTTAAGCACAAACCCAATGTAAACAGCAGAATCAAGAATGGCAATACAAAAGTGCAAACTCTTAAAGAATAGAATAATACAACTATACAAGGAAAGCATACTAACCCTTGGGCGGAAAAAGCGCTTTGGAGGCTCACGGTTCCTCCTATCTGTGCGAGAGCGAACCCTCACAACTTTGGAGTGAATGGCACATGAGACGCAGTGTTGTACCTTAACATACAGCTTGGGAAGAGTGTATGCTGCAAAAAAAAAAAAAAAAATGCATTACATCATTCAAAATCTGTTCCTCTGGTAATATTGATAGTTAACAAAATTAGGTTCAGGTTCACAAGAGGAACTTACTATCGAACGCACAGGCATCCTGAATATCCCTCACGGCTGCTTGCTCAACTATGTTCCTCACCAGAAACCTCTTGATTGCCTTGTCCTGTCACACAAAGCCATTGCAGACAGTCATCCACAGTAGCCATTATTCAAGCAAAAATTATCAACAAGGCTTTGCAAAGTAAGATCTCGATTTTCGAGAACCCAAATAGTGATTCACAACAATTTGTGCTGAGTGCATTCATGCAATTCACAACGTATACGCTTGTCAATGTCTTATTTTTCTGAAAACGTAAACGAATAAAAACAGAACTCTATGGCGTCTACAACACACAAAACGTAAAAATATCATAAGCTAAATCATAACCATTGTTACACCTTAGTTACCCAGCTAGCACGTGAGGCAGGGCGATAGATATAAGACAGTCACCAAAACTCAGAATCGTCATTAGCACATTTTCAGGCAATACAAAACCACACACATCAAGGGTCTCAATGCTACCGCTTCAAGTTTCTACCAATTACATATCATTCAAAGATTGAAACTTTAATTCCAAAACAAACAATCTTCTTCATCTGGGAAACACTAGATTCAGAGAGAATAAAAAACGAAGAGCCCAGAAAAAAAAATGGAGACAGAAAAACCTTGGGGCAGCATTTGCCGCAGTTGGAGCAGCGGATGAAGTTCACATGGCCGCGGCCATGCTTGTTACGACCTCCGTTCCTTCTCTTGAACGTCTACAAGAAATCGGTGATTGAACATTGTAAGTAAAATAACAAGTANNNNATACTTGGGTTGCATTTTCCGACCATTGTTGATCGATGAGGGTTGATCTGCAGAAGGGGAGGCGCTCAAGCGATAAATGGCTAGCTAGGGTTTAGTTTACTCGAGTGAGAATTTATATAGCCACGCTATCGCCATAAAAATCCCTAGGTTCAAAATATTATTACCCAATATTGCATGGGGCGATTTGATATAAATTATATTTAGTTTCGTCTTACCATTTTACCAAATATTTTATTATTATTATTATTATTATTATTATTATTATTATTATTATCTTTGTTACAGATAATAATTAAACAAATATATAAATCATCCATTTATATATATGTACTAGTGAAAGCCACTCTACAACAACTTTACATATTTATTTATAATTATTAATTTACCATCTTTATATTGTATCGATTTAGTTTATACTAGTATAATACCCATGTATTACACTGGTGCTTGCTAAGATTTTTTTCTTAAAATTTAAAATTAATGAGAAAGTAGTTGAAACTTTAAATACTTTATATATATATATATATATATATATGTGTGTGTGTGTGTGTGTGTGTGTGTGTGTTTGACATTTGTTACTTCTGCGACTTACATATGTTATATTATAATAATTTTTCTAACTTGTACCATATAACTACATTAAACATGAATATATTAATTGAGAAATAATTTTATTTTTTAATTATTTTTAATATTTTTTTTATTATTGTAAATATAAATATAATTTATTTATTTTATATATATAATATGGATGTCAAATCGAAACTCATCAAAAGATGATTAATTTGATACATTATAATGTAAAATCGATAAGAAATACAAAATTTATCAACTTTTAAAATACATTTACAATTCAACAGTTTTAATAAGAAATGATATAAAAATATAATTAATACACTAAATTGATCATAAATAAATCAACATATTTATGGTATTCCGAACCTAATTAGTTTTGGATTGGAATTAAATTAAAATCTATCTAAGCCAAATAACAAAGCATGGAATTTTGACACATATAATTTCGAAGCATACGAGCCTACCACTTAGACTCAACACATTCGAAAATTATATATATGGGGAGATCTCATCTTATCCATTAAACACTTAAGAAATAATTCATTCATTTACTTCAAATAAATCACATTTTTCATCATTTTTTACTATTATTTTTTTTTCGTTCAATATCATTATATCCAATCGCATTGTAATATATGTTTTACATATTTAATATTAGATTCGGCAAAATTTCATTTTTGATTCATTATATTGGCCATTTTTCAGAAATGGTCCACTAATTTGACAGACATCAAACCTGATACAATAAGTTGTAAAATTCATCATTTTTGGTCCATAAGCATACGTGGCGTTTTATCGGGCGAATACGTGGACAATTTTGATGTCCGCCACGTAGTCTCTTGAGTGATTAATGGACCAAAAATGATGAATTTTACAACTTATTGTATCAAGTTTGATGTCCGCCAAATTAGTGGACCATTTCTAGAAAATGGCCAATATAATGGACCAAAAATGAAATTTGGCCTATTAGATTCTATCACATTATTTATAGATGGGTGCAAACAACGTTATGACTCCACAAAATAGAATTTTATCTTAGTCGCGGTTGATAACTCCAATAATACTCAAATGGTCGAACCTACAGGGAGCACAAGGTTATGATTTTGGCTACCAGGGACCTCTTCAGACGCATTTGGGAGGTCGTGATTCGTCACAATTATAGGGAACTCAATTATGCGGCCGAATATCTACCTGCACAAGCGACGTTGGGTTCGTCAGGGTATCTGAGGTTGAACGATCCGCCAAATGGTTTTATTTTTATTTTTATTATTTATTTATTTATTTATTTATTTATTTTTATTTTTTTTGCTAAATGGGGTTAAGATTTGGTTGGAACATAACTTAGCGGGCGTTGTTCATCTGTGTAGCGTAGTCATGTAAGGGGGTGTATTCTATTGGGAGATTAAGTGATATTTTAAGACTTTTTAAAATTTGAGAATTTTTAAGATTTTCATATTTAGGAAGAATTATATGAAATTAAGTCTGGACGTAAGATTTGATTGGGATTTATATAAGGTTTTTTGTTTAGAAATCTCACCAAATCTTAAAGAGTCTTAATAAATCTTGGTGTCTGATAAATTAAATACCTCAGGATTTTGTAAGACTTTTGAAAATCCCAATTGAATTCCCAAAAATTTTTAAAAGTCTTAACAAATTTAAATTGAATACACCAGAATTTCTAAAGTATTAAAAATTATTTAAAAATTCTAATTAAATACACCCCTATAGTGTCTCTTTACTTTTAGGCATTTTGCCTCCTTTATTGTACACAACAAAAAAAAATAAAAATAAATAGAAGAGTAATGCTATAAGTACATAATATTGTACATAACACATACATTTAGTGGGACCTACCACTTTTTAAAAAATTACGTGGACACACTCCATATAAGTGTTATGTACCCTCTATGTTCATTTATTATGTACTTGTAGCATTTTTCTTGTGATAAATATAAACTGGCCTAATTCTATAGAAAAATATAATTAAATTGGATAAATATTGGTTGAAACTATAGGATTTTTTAAGTAGAACACATATTTACAACTAGAAGTTAGTCAGAAGCATAATTTAGTGGGAGGACATCCCGATCGGAACCTAAACACCACAACGCACCCACGATAATTTTACCAACTCCCACCAAGAGAATCTAAACAAATCTTGTTATGAACTCTAAAAATTGTTGTTATTTAGGCTAAATGTGTCTCGTTACGTACTTTTGGTTTCAATTCGTTAGAGCTCATAATCGAGCTTCAGCTCGGCTCGTTTATCAATATTAACGAGTCAAACTCGGGCTTGAATGAGCCGAACTCGAGTTTTAACGAATCAAATTATAAAAAAAATACATAAAAATCTATTTTCGAACATTATCGAGTCGAGCCGAGCTCGTTAACTAAACGAGTTTTAAATGAGCTCGAGCACGACTTGTTTATCAAACAAGCCACGCCGAACTCGAGCCAACCCGAGCTCACCTCAGCTCACGTGCAGCCCGTTTAAGTTACCAGCTCTAGTGCAGCCCGTTTAAGTTACCAGCTCTAGGTACGCCAAACAGTAGCCTCTTTTGTCATCAGAAGAAATATACTCAATACAACTATTCAACAAAGGATGAGTTTCAACTTTCAAAGTAAACTGCTTACAAGTTACAACACAGCACAAGCACACAAATTACAGTGCACCACTCATGGAGCTTATGCACAAGAAATGCCATACACATCTCCATCTTCACCACACAACTCAACCAATAACTAATAACATGGCCTCATATACAAGAGACCCAACAATAAAAACATAAAAAAACATCCACAACAACACACAAAAGCTTTTCCCCAACCTCTCACTCAATACTTCAGTCCAAACCCAAAAGGAAACAAAGGGTCTGCTGAGTTTTGTCCCGCGTGTACCGGGAGCTGATCCACGCTTCTAAACCATGTCATCGGGAGCTTTCCTTCGAATGCATAGTCCCCAAATATAACATCTGTTATTCCCCGGCCTTCTGTGCCGGGCAACCATGCAGCAACCAGCGCCTCGATTTTCTCCAAGAGCGCTGGCTCCAAGACCAAAGGCCGCCCGGAAACTAGAATTAGTAATGTGGGAAATCTCTCGGCAATTGAGGCTGCCAGCTCAGATCCGTTGAAGTTGATCTTCAGATTCGGGTCGTCACCGCCCGACTCGACGTACGGGCCCTCACCAACTGCCACAACAGCGAGTGAGATGTCCTGACGAGATAGAGTCTCGGGAGAAGGGTTTTCTTCGTATACTACTTCAGTTTTCTCATCCACCACTTGCTTTACGGCATCCAGGATAGTCGTGCCTGGAGAAAAAATGATATGGCAATTCAACTTCTTTAGAATGTTAAAAAGGATACCGATTTTTAGGATTTCCGCAACTTGAATGATTTATTATCCTGAAAATGGTCGAGCGAGCTTGGATACAAATATATCCGCTCAAATCGAGGGTTTTTTTTCTTAACTATGGTTAATTTTGAAAAAGTTGGTATAGTTAGTTGTTAGTGGAATTTTAAGTTCTTATTAAAATAATATTTAAAATAAATTAATTAAAGTCGATTTAATGTAACAATAGGAGAGAGATATGATGCGAAGTGATGGTTAGTTAAAATTATGTGAATGGATGAATAGTGAATTAAAGTTGATGTGATGTGTAAGAAATAATTGATTAATGTTATTTTTAATTATATTGATAATATTGAGGATAGTAAGATGAAGTTAAAATTGAGTTAGATTTTGAGTATGAATTGAGTTAATTTATAAACAAACACACCCTAAGAAGTCCAGCTAATGTTATAAGTTGATTCACAGACAGTAATAGCTCTTTATATAGATAGTTGTTGTAGTTTGCGCCCATGAAAAAGGTCCGAATAAAGCAACTTTTACCTTCAGTTATTCTGCCAGATTTGCCTTCCCATGTAATTGTCCAACCACCACACTGATATCCGAGATTGTCGGCATGTGTTCCGGCAATGAGTATTCGTTTGGCTTTCTTGTCGAGTGGGAGGAAAGGTTTATTTAATTCCTTTCCATTCTTCAACAAAACCAATGACTTACGAACGGCTTCACGAGCTAGTTCCCTGTGTGGCTGCCGGGGTAAAAAGAAAGCACGTATAATTATTCAGAATAGCCGTTCCAAGTCGTTCTTTATCTAGTTGTTTCGACAAGTATTCTCCGTCGATATTTTTTTGATTTATCTGTTGCTTTTCAGATTCTTTTGTGTTTAGCAAGTTTTCAGAATGAATGAAAGAAAAATGCATGAGAATTTTATTTTCCAGGCTCAGCCTAGGCATGAAGAAAAATGAATGTTCTTCAGAACAATTCATTAATGTGAATTGTGATACCGGAAGTTCAATAGCATACCGATTAATTAGCTACTATAGTAGCAGCTAGTCTTCTCATTAGTTATTATTTTGATTGGTTTAGGCCCGTATTCCATACGTACATGTTTGAACTTTTTTATTTTAAAATCATATTTGATAAAAACAACAAATAAGGAAGTATTAGTAAGTAACCTTACAACCAACCACATCCAGCAAAGATCTATCAGCAAATGGATGCTCGAAAACTCCAGAAATGAACTTGACTCTCAGGATCCTCTCAACGGCATCATCAATCCGGGCCATTGATATTTCCCCTGCCTCAAAAAGGGACAGAAATTCGTCTAGAAATAATTCATATCTAAAAGGAACCATTACCTGCACGAGCAAGACACAAACATTAGACGGAACTAATTACAAGGAGACACAGATTGTGAAAAATACAGTCTACCATATCAATTCCTGCATTTATGGTTAACAAAATGCTCTGACGATAATTTGAACCATGGGGTTCATAAAGCCGGTCCAATGCCTCCCAGTCTGAAATCACAAAACCCTGTGGCAGATCATATGTAGGAATTGCTCAATGAGAAAATATTTCTGAAAGTAAAAAAAAAAAAAGCAAAACAAATAAAAATACAGGCATGGTTTAACAAAAGCATTAGTAGATTCCGTTTCTTGTAAACCAATTTTAATACCTTGTTCAAAATGCATCATCAATTTAGTGATAAATCGCACCCAATTGGAGCAAGAAAAGATTTTAAAGGGCCCAAAATTGACCTACATATGGTAATGTTTGGACAAAGCTTTTTTTCTTTTTTCTTTTTTTTTTTTTTTTGAGACTCTTCATCCAAGAGAACAAAAATAGTGCAAGAGAGCTTCCATTACAAATGATGAGGATGGCATAAACCTAACTTACCTTGAATCCCAGCTTATTTTTCAAAACTTCAGTAAGAAGAAAATAGTCAGTGTGCAATTTACTCCCGTTCCAACTCGAATACGATGCCATTACAGTGCAAACTCCCTGAGAAAGACAATCAAGATATGGTGCCAAGTGGGTTCTCTCCAAATCCTCGTATGAAGTTATTGTATTCCCTTCATTTATACCGTTTTCAGTACCACCATCTCCGACAAAATGCTTGGCAGATGCAAGAACATTTTTCCTGGAATCAGTTTTGAAATTCTTACAATCAGTGGGGAGAAAATGATTGTGATTGAAGACAGACATACAGGGTACAAATACAATCAAGTGGACTGTGTCAAATGCATTAACTGAGAAATAAAGTGGCATTGTTCCGGTGTTGTGCAGGTAAGTATAAATTCACTCGCCACATTAGACAATTTGAGAACAGTACTTCTAACATAGATTTTATGCATTTTAACTTTTCACTTTAAAAATTTGATGATTGGAGCAATCAAGCCTCAAAAAGTAGATTCTGAACAATATATCACTTTAACTTACACCTTTTACAGAAGTTTGCTCCAGCGTACATACAGATCAACAGTTTATAATGAATGCTCTACATCACCTGGCATATATCTTTGTACATTTTCCATGAAAAAATAAAAAAATAATCCATATATTTCTGTTAGAATCAATTAAGAAGCCACAATCAACATGGGTACATTTTCCTTACGATAAAAGGATAAAAGTTTCTCCGTAAGAATTACAAAAATGCTCACTCATTTGTTATGTTTTTGTGTTGATAACTGAAAAGAAAATAAAATGACTTGTCTCTTCCTTTTTTTAGGCGAGGAAGGACAGGAAACTCAAAAAATAACAAGTAAATTAAATAAGCGGGACCATCAGAAAAAATTGCTTTTTAGGGGTAAGTTTCTAATATAATTGACAAAGTGAAGAAAATCAACTCTGGGATAATGGCCAAAATATTCAAAATTATGTGGCATGAAGTGTAATTTATAATTCATTGCTGAGAAATTAAGGTCCCACAGCAAACTGTCAACTGAAGAAACAGCAGAGTAAATCGAATCAGGCATTCCGCCGGCGAAAATTGGAAGTCTCACTCTGCACATTCTCCATAAGCTAGAACTCTCAATTTTCAGTCTTAGTTACATTGTACATTATTCAGATTACACTGTTGAAAAAGTGAACGAGATGGGATTTCAGAAATAAAAAAGTTCATTTACAATATATATTCGGAAAATCCTTTTACCTTCCAGCTAGAAAAGGGTAGCCTTTGGGGTGACCTTCAGGTGGCACTCCCTGCAAGCCTGAAACAAGGCAGGTCATCTTTCTAACAATTTCAGTGTCCTCACTGTAACTTTCATAGGACCTTCCCCATCTAGGGTCTCTACTAACCTGAAAGGATAAAATGCATCTTTTTATAATAAATAACGATCACCTATATCTATGTCTATATAGATAAAGAAATACACAGTACATTTATATATGTATAACCTATCAATGGCTATATATACTTGTGCTTAGAACAGAAACAAATTGAAAAAAACATTTATACCGGTTCTCAATTCCCAAATCGGACAGACAATTTGTATGTAAGTCATCAACAGAATAACAAAATGTTGGTCCTCTCTTAATTGGAAAGCAGAAGGTACAAAAATTGTCAACAACAACAAAAGTGGCTGGTTTGTAACTGGAAAATTATTAAAAAGCCTATGCTAACCACTATTATATATATTAAAAAAAAGGACCACAAAATATTCAATCAGAGAGAGATTAAAAGCATTAGACAAATAGAAGACACCATATTTAACACGGTCGACCATATTGCTGGAGACATATTTTGAAGAACTTATGTGACTTACAGCAACACATGGAGCAAATGCATACTGCGCTCCGCTTGCTCTCACTTCAAGAGCTGTTACCTCCCCAATCTTTTTCACCAAATCGGCATCTCTGTAAATTGCATCGTAATTGTATGTCGTGATCGTTAAATGCAGTCAAGCATTGAAGATATCGGATTTAAAAAATAAATATACAAATAAATAAACTGATGTTTGCCCAATCATTAAATCAATAACACTACTTAATCAAAACAAAGAAAAACTAGATTCAATTAAAACAACAAAAAAAGGTAATGAGATAGACGAACCGGCAGATAAATGCGGCAGCTTTGTCTGTATCTTCTGTTTAAAGTGAGTCGCACGGCAACGACTAAATAGCATAGGTGATTAACAATATTTCTAGATAACAGACTGTCTAAAAATAATTAAGATTCATTAAACAATATTCTGTCTACCTACCAAGTTTGGCATTCTTCTCCCTGTCTCCTTTATCCTAGTTAGAATGCCTACTTTTCCCACTATTGTACAGCTTCCAGCTGGAGGGATACGTAATAGACAGCCTTATCCAGAACTGGCGAGCAACAATTTTGTTCAATTTATTTCAGAACCACTTGATCTTACTTTGGAGAACAAGTTCACGCTTCAACTTTTCTCTTGCTAAGTGCCTTCTTCATTAGATTGAGAGACAATGTAAAATGACCTACATGCACTAACTGATATAAACTATCTCCCATTTGCAGGTGTTTATACTTCAAATTACGACTGGGGATTTATTGCTAACTTCCCCAAGTATTTCAGCTTAAAAGAGCAGCCTTAATACTTTAAAACATCCATATTGTCAATGTGATGTTGATAGGATGAACAGCCACAACAACAAAAGACAATGGACAGGCCATGCAATGAGACAACAATTAGAACTCTTGTTCAAACTCATAGTCTTCTACAAATCATAGACAGGAAATAAGAATCAGATATGAATCAAGTCAAACATCAATGTAGTCACCAAAAAACGGAAGTACGTCCCAAATGGTAAAAAATGTCACCAATGCAACACGACAATTTCTAGTTGTTCATCGCTTCTCGTAAAGTAATCCCTAGGCAAATACGAGGCGGTAAACCATCAAGTCACGAAAGGATTTGGCATGCATTACACGTAAATACATATGAAAGTGTCATATGCAATTGCAATAAAGAATACTCCGAAACATTTTCTTGCTAAGTTCCCATGCATAAACCATCGCTAGGTGGTAGAGTTATCTTCCAGCTGCTAAAACCAACTATCCAAAGTACACACACACTAGGCTCTTCCATGCAAATTATAAAAACACCAATGATTGATCACCAAACTCCAAACTCTACAATGAACAAGTACGGATCAGATTAAACTTGCCAAATTACCAATGTTTGCTCACCTAGTGGCACCAAGGCCAACGTTATGCGGGAAAATGGTGGCGCCATAGACATTGTTGTTGCCATGGACCGCATCAGTTCCATAAATGATAGGAATACCGAGTCGGGTCTCGAGCGCCCCTTCCTGAAAGCTGTCGATCATGTCCGCCCAATCTCCCGATTTCGCATTCTCAAAAGGCTTGCTCCCACCCCCGCTCAGCACACTCCCTGAATCGGATCGCAGCTAAACCATGAATGAACAAAGAAAATAATTCCTTCTTTTCTCTTAATCCTCTCCCTTTTATCCGTCATAAAACTGATGTTTCGTACTACATTCCTAATTAAAGAAAACTTTGCCCAACCCATTGATTTATTATTGTTTTAGTTTGATCCAAAGAGAAAGTGGGCTCGTTAATCTATCTGTGTGTGAAATAGAGCTGACCTATGAAGCGGTCTCTAATGGCGGAGGGCGTGGCCACGCTGCGCTCGATCTGGGTCATCTGGCCGATCTTCTCGAGGAGAGTCATCCGAGAGAGGAGGTCTTTAACCCGGGTTTCAACGTGGGCATTTGGGTCCTTGTATATGCACTCCATCTCCTCCGATCGGGTTCGGGCCTCGGACTTGCAATGCGAGCAGCGAAGCTAGCACAGTACAGAACTACAAAACACAGTGTGGAGTGGAGAAGATGAAGATGAATGTGTATTATTGATTTGTTGATTTATTCTGATAATTATAAAGTATCTGCCTTTATTAAACTGGTTTACTTTGAAAGCAATATTAAACTTGATTTTACATATATTAAACTGGTTCACATTGAGAGCGTATAATTTTTATAAATTGGTTAACTTTAAATTGAATCTAAAATTCAGCTCCTCACATTTTTTCGAAAAATGTTACCGCACAATTTTCTTTTTATTAAATTTTATTTACATAAGCTATACATTAATGGTCACATTTTTCGAAAAATACTACCACACTTTTAAGCTATAAGTCATAAGCTATAAGTTATAACAAGCTTATCAAATAAGCTCGAGCTTTTTAAATAAGCTCGTCCTACCAAACGGGACTTATTTGAATACAGGAAGCTTATAAGCTAACCAAATAAGCTATAAGCTAGCTTATTTGGTTTACCAAATATAACCTTAATTTTCAAGCTTATAGCTTATGACTTATAGCTGAAAAGCTAGCTTATATGATTAAAATTAGCTGATAAGCTAGCTAAATAAAAAATTCAACTAGCTTATTTAAAAAGCTACCTAAACAAGCTTATCAAATAAGCTCAAGCTTTTCAAATAAGCTCGTCCTACCAAACGAGACTTATTTGAATACAAGAAGCTTATAAGCTAACCAAATAAATAACTGGTTAATTTTCAATTAAATTTTAAATTCAACTACTCACATTTCTTAATTTGAATTTTTAAATAAGAAAATGTGTTTCCATATTTTTTGAAGTTATAATATGTTTATATTCTTTTATCTATAACTAATTAGGAAAATACTACATGTACATAATAAATATACATAAAGGTGTACATAGCACTCACATGGAGTAGGGTACACTTGATTTTGTATTTTTAGTGGGTTCCCACTCAATGTGAGTGTTATATACACCCTTATGTACATTATTATATACTTGTAACATTACTCAACTAATTATACACGTATTCAAAATTTAAATCCAAACAAAAATTTTCGAATTTTTTGTTGACAAAATCAACTGCCCAAAATTTATTTATTTCAAAAAATGTTACACACATTTTTTTTTTATTATTATTAAAATTTATTTACATGAGATATACAATGATTAATTTTAAATTGAATCTAATTCGACTTATCACATTTTTCGAAAAATGTTACCACACAATCTTTTTTTATTAGATTTTATTACATAAGATATATACATTAGTGGTTAATTTTATGGTTAATTGCTAAATAAAACTGAACCTTTTTGCGTTTGGCAATTTTATCCCAATCTTTGAGTAATTGCAATGTAATCTCGAACTCAATTTACTTATTGCAAATTTGGGTGCAGAGTGATTGATTATAGGAATTTGTGAATCGATTTTGTGTCCAAGTCTTTCATTAACACGGATTTTTATGCAATCTACGTAGCAAGTTGACAATTTCCATGTATTTAATGTATATCCATGTACAAAGTCGAAAATTCCACGTCAATGTAAGCTACCGATGATGAGTCTCCTCCTAGATATGGAGTGAACCGGCAAATATGGGCTCTGATATGTTCGAACCGCCTTCAAATCGACCAGTTTTTTAAAGGTCCAACCGTTTTTAAGTTCGACTTGCAATAAGTAAATGAAGGTCGAGATTATATTGCAATTACTCAAAATGTGGGATAAAATTGTCAAAAGCAAAAATGTTAAGGTTTATTTAGCAATTAACCCTTAATTTTAAATTGAATCTAAAATTCAACTCTAGAACTTGAATTTTTAAATAAGAAAATATGTTTCCATATTTTTTTGAAATCATAATTTGTTGGATTCTTTTACCTATAACTAATTACACACGTTTTCAAAATTTAAATCCAAACAAAAATTTTCGATTTTTTTGCTAACAAATTATGCCGCTCAATATTTCAAATTTTTCGAAAAAGTTACAATTAATAGTAATTATTAAATATTTAAGTGGGAATTTACTTCTCAATTTAAGTAAATACCATCTCTTTTTTTTATAGTAATCGATGTACTAAAATTTATGGGGTAACATTTTTTGTCTAAAAATAAAATACATGTGGTGAGGGAGGTAAATTTCTCCAACTTTTAAAACTTTTAATGCCTCGAATTATTTGGAATTTTAAAAAGTCTTACAAAATCTCGAAGAATTCAACTTATTTGATATTATAATTTAGGGTTAATTGCATAAAAAACCACCACCTTTTGTTTAATTGCAAATAAAACTCAAGTTTTTCAATTTGGCAAAAAAATACCTAACTTTTATTAAGTGTTGCAATTTTGTCTCGTCCGCCGGACCGCCGCCGCCAACCGCCACCCGCCGCCGCCAACTTTGCCGGATATTGAAAATATTTATATGATCTTGTAGCTCTCCTCCGTGCCAACAACATATTTGAGTTTCACGAAAAAATTTCGACGACAAGACGTCCAATTTTTCGGTCAAAGGTTGTAAAAAATTTAGATCTACGACCTTTGACCGGAAAATTGGACGTCTTATCGTCGAAATTTTTTCGCGAAACACGGATATGTTGTCGGCACGGAAGAGAGCTACAAGATCATATAAATATTTTCAATATCCGGCGAAGTTGACGGCGACGGGTGGTGGTTGGCGCCGGCGGACGAGACAAAATTGCAATACTTAATAAAAGTTAGGTATTTTTTTTTTCAAATTGAAAAGATTGAGTTTTATTTGCAATTAAACAAAAGGTGGTGACCCTATAATTTATTAACATTTTGTAAGATTTGATAGGATTTATATAAAATATACACGAAATTCTTTCCAAAACTCACTTTTCACACTTGCAAAAATATATATATATATATATAAATATACACGAAATTCTTTCCAAAACTCACTTTTCACACTTGCTAAGATTTCATAGATTGCTCATAGATATGGAAACATTAAGAAGTCTAAAATTTCACCAAATCTTAAAATTTTATGTTAGGGTACAAATAAATTCAATCTGTACTCAATTTATATTTAAAATCAAACTCACCTTTAACTCAACCATAATATTATCAAATAATATCAATCAATTATACGTTACGTCAACTGCCATTGTTCACACACTCACTTAATTTGAACTAGTACGAATCCCGTGCGATGCACGGGTAAGAGATATTCATTAAGATTTATAAATTAAAAATGCTCATTAAATAATATTTATAAATTTAAAATATAAAATCAACTCGTACGGTGCACATAACTGATATTAAACTACATTATATCATTTCAAAATAATTGTCGTTTTGAAATTTTTATTCAGAAATTCAATTTGAATACAATGTGGTTACATAAAATAATTATTTTGATAAAATTTTATCATATATTTAAAAATCTATGTGAATAATAAGTAAAAAATATTTTTTATATTATTTAATTAATTAAAATAAAATTTATTTTTTATAAACTCTTCACTTCAAAAAAATTATATAGTTGAGTAATTTTTTAAACTATAAGTAATTGACTATTCTAATTACCTCCAAGTTAATAAATAGTTACTTATTTTCATTTTAAATTTGGAATCTAAATTTGGACTACACAATAAACATCCTTGTATATTTTATGTATATCTATATTTTACCAATCTCAAAATTTTCTAGATTGTTGTCGGCTACCTTATCGTCAAATTTATCAACTAATTCTCTATTATTAAATTATAAATTTTAAGTTTGATTAAGAAATATTTGTTCAAATATTTTTCTAATTTTTGAGAGAAATACACACCAATTTTCTTATCTTATGGCAAGTTATTATGGGAATATTTTAAAACCGTAAAGCTTGAGAATCATATCACCTTGATTTTATAACAAATCAACCTAAACTTCGACTTTCATACTTGTACTAAATAAAATTCATACCACTTATTTTATTTTCAAAATTCAAATACACTTCTCTTCATACCAAATGAAATTTATACTATTTAAGTTCGGACATTTTATACCAGAATAAAATCACCCTACTTTTATTCATCATAATACTCAACTATTGTTTTATTCAAAGATTTATTGTCATATAATATGTATTAAGATAATTTTTTAAATTAACCACTAAATTTTATTATATGCAAATATTTTGATATTTTAACAAAGTAAATTTTATACTCTTACAGCTTACGCAACACGGAATTCTATTTACGCTACGTAGTATAAGAACTAAAACTCGATGAATTACTTTTTAAATATTTTAAAACACTAAAAGATATACAATTTCAATATAAAATGGCATTTATGCGAGATTACATTTTTTTAAGGGGAAACCCGTGCGTCAGACATGGTTTAAAATTTCAAATATTGATTTGTTAAAAATTAAGCAAATTATTTATTTTTGTAAACAAAAACTTTTATATTTTATAAATTCTCAATAAATTTTTTAAATCGTTTCCGTTTTATTTATCATATTACTATATAATAAAATCAAAATATTTTGAAATTCGAAATTAAAGCTATATTGACAGGTTTTTTCCGATTATTATTTTTTTCAAAAAGGTTACCAAATTTATAGATATAAATATTGATGTATAATAAATTCAAAATATCATGGGCATGTGTTTCCTGTATGAAATGATGTACCAAAATTTTAATTCCAATATCAATTGGGACGTTTATGGAAGAAAAGACATACCACAAAAAATATGTACATACATTGATTTCTAAGTCAATTGGTTTTTTGTTTTCTTTTTTCAAATAATCGAAAAAAAAAAGATAAAATGGAGAAGGTAAAAATCTAATTTCATATTTTTTTTTTTGTTAAAAAATCAAACTACAATCTAAAACAATTATTCACCCGTAAAAAAAAAAAAAAAATGTTTATGTAAGGTAGCTTTATTTTCGGGAAACAAAAGTAACAAATTCCATAATTTAAGGGCAACATTTAATGCTGCCCTATTTTAAAAAATAAAAATAAAAAAGTTACTAAAAATAGTATGTAACTAATGCTGGCCAAAATTTGACCTACTATTTTAGAAAAATGGTAATTCTTTTTATATAGATATAGATAGATTAACCACCACCTCACATCATCTCTCATATACTTTGATATTAAATAAAATTTAATTATTTTATTTTAAATATTATTTAAATATAAACTTAAAATTTTACTGACGACTAAAAATACTATTTTTTTTTTTTTAAGTTAGCACGGTTTAACTAAAAACTCGTTTTGAATGGATAATTTGTATGAAGTCTAACATCTCAAAATTTAACTCAAAACCCAATAAAAAAACATTGCAACTCTGCCAGTGTAGATTATTATTATTATTATTATTATTAGCATAGGTATCTTAGAAAATAATTAAAAAATTAAATATCATTATAAGAGATATTGTTTGGACTAGGGTTTATATCTTTAAGAATAAGTTAAAAATTAAATACTAATATAAGAAAACTTGTCTGGTTGGACCAACCTTATTTAAACAATATTATTATAAGAGATATTGTTTGAACAAAGGTTTATATCTTGAAGAATAAGTTAATAATTAAATATTAATATAAGAAATATTGTCTGGTTGTATCAGCCTTATTTAAACAATATTATTATAAAAGATCTTGTTTGGACAAGGGTTTATATATTGAAGAATAAGTAAAAAATTAAATATTAATGTAAGAAATCTTGTCTTATTTAAATAATAATACTATTATACTATTATAAGAGATCTTGTTTGCACAAGGGTTTATATTTAAGTAAAAAATTAATTAAATATTATTATAAAAGGTTGGACCAGCCTTATTTAAACATCTAATTTCATCTCCTATTCTCAATTTATCTCCACACAGCAAAAGCGAAGAAATTCAGCAGCCGCCGCACCCATCTTTCCGAATATACTCGCCTCAGTCGCCTCTTCCATCACCAACCCATCACGTTTTTTGTTGAGAAGAAAATGTCGTCGGAGGATTCATCCCGCAACCCAGCTCCCGAAGAGGAGAACCCCGAGAAGAAACTGTCCAAGAAGGAGCTCGCCAAGCTGGAGCGCCAGCGGAAGCGTCAGGAGGCGGCCGCAGCCTCCGCCGCCGCCGCGGTATCTGCCGTGACCATGGAAGCCGATCCACTGGCGGAAAACTACGGCGAGATCCCGTTGAACGACCTGCAGTCGAAGGAAATTTCGGGGAAGAAGTGGACGGAGGTGAAAAACCTGGCCGCCGGGCTTAAGGACCAGGAAGTGCTGATACGGGGTCGCGCGCAGGCGATCCGGGCCGTGGGTAAGAAGATGGCGTTCGTGGTAGTGAGGGAGAGGGGTTTTACGGTGCAGTGCGTCTTGAATGTGGCGCCGGATGTGGTGAGCCCGCAGATGGTGAAGTTCGCCACTAGCCTGAGCAGGGAGAGTATCATTGATGCTGAAGGGATTGTCTCCGTCCCGGCACAGCCCATCACTGGCGCGACTCAGCAGGTTTTAGCGTGCTATTGTGTTTGTTTTTTCATGCTTGTGTTGAAAATTGTTGAGAGGAAAGGAAGTACATCGAATGTCTTCTTCTTGCAGGACTCTAAGTCACTATATGATCTGTAGATGAGCTTCTTGATGCTTAAAAGCACTTGTTGATATTACGGGAATTAAAATAGGCCATAGTTACTAGATAAAAATGTCAAATTACTGGGTGATTGGTCCTCCACCGCAATATAATATTGGAAGTGATTCTGGGTTATTGTGTGTAGCTTATCTGTTTTATGTCATTGTGGCTTCTCATTCTCTGTGCTCTTTCATTATTGAAACTGGCTACTTGTTGCATTTGCACTTTATATGTGGTCTCATGGTATAAAATATAAGCAAAGAGATGCAACCATGTTCGTGCATTTTATAGAAACTGGCTACTTGAGACTTGCTTGTTGTTCTATTATCAAACTTTTTTTTTTTTTTTTTCTAATTATAATGACTTTTAGGATATGCAATTATGTTCCTGCACTTTATTAGTCTATTATATTATATTTGGTTTTGATTCTTATAGGTGGAGATTCAAGTGAGGAAGCTTTATTGTGTGAACAAGGCTATTCCCACACTGCCCATCAATATTGAGGATGCGGCCAGAAGTGAAGTCGAAATAGAAAAGGCCCTTGAGGTACTTTCCTATGTTTATGCACATGTTACTCATTTTTATAGGCATCTCTTTGTCCTTTTAGCACAACATTTCACTTGAAAATGATTTGTGTTTTCCAAACGCAGGCAGGTGAGCAGCTCGTGCGTGTAAATCAGGACACTCGTTTGAATTATAGAGTTCTTGACATGCGGACTCCTGCTAATCAGTGTATTTTCAAAATTCAGTGTCAAGTTGAGAATGTAAGTATACATGTTTTTACTGTGTGTATGTGTGTGTGTGTGTTTATTAGGTTATATTCCTTTTTCCTTTTTATTTTTCTTTTCCTTTTTCTCTTTTTCTTATAAAAAAATCTTACTCCACTTTTATAAAATCTTTATGCAACCAGCTTTTTATTTTCTGGTTTGAACTTCTGATTCTTATGGAATCGTGCAAGTAATGCAGATCTCATGTTCACACATTAACACATTCTTGAAACTATTTAGATTGTTTCCTTGGATATTTCGCGTTCTTAAGGAGTATACAACTAGGTATATGCCTACTCTAATTTCTTGATCCAATACCTATGCATGGATATCTTCCATTATTTTGTACATATAAAATGACATACACTGAGTTCTTTCTCGAAAACATATTCTCACGTTTTCTTCGTTACCTCAATGACCCGGTTTTGATTTCAAGAACCTATAAATAATTATTTCTATGTGAATGCTTTGTTGTCTGAACTCTGAAGGTGTTGTTGGGATCCTCACTGTTATTACATGTTCATGCAGATATTTAGACAGTTTTTGCTGTCTGAAGGCTTTGTGGGGATCCACACGCCAAAATTAATTGCTGGTTCTAGTGAAGGTGGATCAGCTGTTTTTAGGTTAGATTACAAAGGAACACCTGCGTGCCTGGCACAATCACCTCAGCTTCATAAACAAATGTCTATTTGTGGTGATTTTGGCCGTGTATTTGAGATCGGACCAGTCTTCAGGGCAGAGGACTCATTCACACACAGGCATTTGTGTGAATTCACAGGTCTTGATGTAGAAATGGAGATTAAGGAGCACTATTCAGAAGTATGCATCATTTTTTCTTAGCTTCAACCTACTGTGTAGATTGGGTTTTGTGAGATATGATCTGGGATCATTTGTGCAGGTGATGGATGTTGTGGACCGCTTATTTGTGGCGATGTTTGACAGTTTGAATGAGACATGTTCTAAGGAGCTTGAAGTTATCAGTAGGCAATATCCTTTTCAGAAATTGAAGGTTGAGTCACGATCAATTTTATGTTATTTATTTATTGTTGTATTAAGTAGTAGAGATCTAAAATCAATGAGCAAATGCATCATCACTCGGGGTAGTCCATTATCTTGGTGCTATGGTTTTATCCTTAAATTTATTATCTTGTTTTTATTTGTTCAATGATACTCATTATTAAATTTTGAATATGCAGTATTTGCGCAAGACCTTACGGCTTACCTTTGAAGAAGGGGTGCAAATGCTGAAGGTGAGAGAACAAGATGAATGTTGATGTATATCAGTAAATAAATATCCAAATCATTTTTCTAAAAAAAATGGTGAAGATATCAGGCTGATCTGGTTATTGTTTTTGGCTTAAGATCTAGGTCACTCAAATGAGTTGATTAGTACTTCTACAGATTTTATAATTTATATACTTGTAGAATTGGTAGTATATATCCGTTCTTGATATTCTTAAAGGGCTCCCTGATGCACGAATAATGGTTGTAGACTCTCAAGGCTTCGTTCTTGTCAATTTTCTATGAATTTGTATGAAAATGCTAGGACATTCAATATACCCAATCTATGAAACTGAGCACATGTTAATGCTAAAAAAGCTGGCATAAGTATAACAAAATGGTATGCAGTCATAATGCAACATGTAACAAGGAATTGTACATGAAATTAATATTGAATGATGTGTACTGCTTTTATTTGTCAATGTAATATGTTAGCAATTAGCATGGCTTTGGCATGCGTATTTGTAAATTGTTATTGGATATAAGAACATAGACTGGAACATTGGCTGAAATGTTTTGCTAATTCCCTTAGATAATGAGATTCACTGCATTCAGTTTGCCTGAGATTGTGCGTGCACATGCATTTTTGTAAATTGTAATATAAGCACTAATCTAGCTATATGACACACCTTGCACACATTGACGGAGACACATCTATGTAATTGTATGACTGGACGTGGATACCAATTATTAACGTTTTTAACTTTTATGCTTTCTTCTAGCTCTTTGAATTATAGCTTTTTATCCCTTTTCTCATCAAATTCTGGCTTTTGATTGAAGGAAGCTGGCATTGAAATTGATCCCCTTGGAGATCTCAACACAGAATCAGAGAGAAAGCTTGGCCAGCTTGTACTTGAGAAGTATGACAATTTTATCTTTATTGTTTATCTTCATTTTTGTATCTTTGGATTTACTGATTTGGGTCATCATTTAATTCTCTTCATTCTTACCCATTCATGATAAACAAACCATGGGTTGTGATGACTTAAAAAAAATAAAACTAAACTGATATTAACCCTACCATAATAGAAAAAAACTATTGTGAACGTTCAGCTTATAGTACTAGTCATTAGAAATGGCAATAAAAGTTAGAAATAGAAAAAAAAATGGGATATTTTGTTTTTATCTAACTAATGAAAGAGATGATCCGAGGGGAAAGGGCAGAAATGCCACTGACAAAAGCATCGATATGAGTATCATGTATATAATTGGTAAAAGTATCATATCTATTTGTTTGTGATTGTAGGTATGACACTGAGTTCTTTATCCTTCACCGCTATCCTTCGGGTGTGCGGCCATTCTATACGATGCCTTGCTACAATAATCCAAACTACAGCAATTCATTTGATGTTTTCATCCGAGGTAATTGCAGGCATTCCAATTATAATTTCATTTTTTGTAATAGCATTTCATGAAAGCAGAAGCCTATATATATTTTTAATGTTTGACTCGAATGTTTAACAGATGATGCAAACTAACTATAAGCAATACTTTAGAAGTATCAATTTATAGGAAGCGAATGAAATGAAATGTTTATGAATGTTTCATGATCCTCAATCTATTGAAAGTCACATTTGCATCTTTGAACAAAATTTATGAGTACCCCCTTTTTTTCAGGTGAGGAAATTATATCAGGGGCTCAGCGTGTTCACGTGCCCGAGCTCTTGACTGAGCGTGCACAGGCATGTGGAATTGACGTTAAGACGATATCTACATACATTGATTCCTTCAGGTGCATATAGTTATACAAAGATTTGCTACGTGCCTTCAGTTACTATTATTAGTGTGTTTTCCGAGAGACATGTATTAGTCTTTTAATTATAGCAGTTTATATACGTTACTAATTATTAGTTTTTAACGTTTGTTAGGTATGGAGCACCACCGCACGGTGGGTTTGGAGTGGGATTGGAGCGTGTGGTGATGCTTTTCTGTGCTCTGAACAATATCAGGAAAACAAGTCTTTTTCCGCGCGATCCTCAGAGGATTGCGCCATAATTATTCCCTGTTTTCGGTTTTCTAATATTCAGTTCGTATTTTGAGGGCACTGGAAAAATGAAATAGGTGGCATTTCTTTTCATGTTTTTTACTCTGGAAAATCATTATCTACTCTCTCAGTGAACACGTGTTTTGACTGTCCCCATAGCCATGAGCTTTGTTGTGATGTCTACTGTGGAGGTTTATGGATGTATTGAGGTTAATTTAGTCGTTGCTTATGAGTATTTCCAACGATCATGCAAGAGATCGCTCTGTTTATTTTGGTTTCTCGTTGTGGAAAAACGAAAATTCAATCGTAACCGAAGTTGCAAGAAAGATCGATTTTAATGAAGAACAAAATTTCTATGCAAAGCAACCAAACCAATTACATAGCTAGAGAAATATTGTTACATCAGTAAGATATCTATGTGAAGATTGTTATCGATTCTCAAATTATCAGTTTGTTTTTTAATGGTTGTATATAGATTTTCAAAATTATCAGTTTTTTGTTATAAATTATCAGGTTTTTTGTTTGCAAATTATAATTTTTAGATTTTGCTGCAAGGACACTCATCCTTAAGTATCAGTTTTTCTCCTCCCAAAGCCAATTATCCAGTTTTCATATATTAACAAATGCGTCTTACTCTTTCATTAAACAATAAATAAAATTATTTGCTTTATCATTGATTTTTATAAATTAAAATTATGGAACACATGACGGTCCATCAAATTTTTAACTAATGTTTGATTTAACAAATTATCGACCTGTAAATTGTAATAAGTTTCATTAAGAATTTTCTCAATCAAATATAAAATAACAGTTGGTATATAATATTTAGAGATTATTATTTAGTATAACAGTTGGGATAAAAATTAATTTCCAACGTGACAGACATTCCAAAAATAGTTGTGTTTTTGTTGGAAGACCTCTGAGTAAACTGAGAGTAATAAAAAATAAAAAATAAAAAATAAAAAATTGAGAGTAATAGTATTATATCAATTTCAAATTTAACTATACTATGAGTGGTATGGTGTAACACGTTTTGAAATATTTAGAATTATATCAAATATCACCTAGTATACAATACATAGCCCCTACAATAGACTAAATGCATGCTTCCCTAGATTTGCTGTTTGAAATACTTCCACAACGTTCACAAATTTGGCCATAGTCTACATTAATAAGGATTAGAATGACCTACACTCCAGTGATGTACAAGCTTGCAGCAAAGACAATATCCCTCTTTATTGCGTTTGAAGCGGTTTCCATTTTCTTGTGGAGTGCCGAATTCCCCATAATTGCAGCTGCATTTCTAAATTCACGACATGTTTCGTCTAACCTCAATATCGTCCGAACAATCATCCCTTCAGGAACATCAGTAAGCTCACAGATATCAGCAAATGGTGTTCCCTGTCAATTCACAAAACTCAGCAAAATTACACATATTATATATTGATTAAACCAATTGAACTGTGAAGTTGAAACTTCAGATGATGGACTGTGACTTGTATCTTTATATTGTCGAGTAATTTAGAAGAAGAAAAAAAAATATATATTATTGATGGGAATGTCTATGCACAGTAGTGGTGGTTGTGCATGGTGGATTTTGAACTCAGAATATATTTTGGTGAATTTACCTTGTGAGCTATAGAGTGAACGTGTTAGAAATATGGATATCGAGATTCATATAATATTGAAGGGCTATACTACCTTTGCCCATTCATATACAACTTCGACTAAACCAAATTTCAGATTCTCCTGCGCATATTCCTGAGGATCAACCTGTAATTTGAAATTTGCCTGAAGTTCTCCTAGTCTTATGGCCGTGTCGTATAATCTGTAGAACAATAAATCAAAATTCAGCATGCAGTACTCACGAATTATAAATCTAATCTAATTACTAAATAACAAAATCTTTGTATTAATAGAAAGCCGATCAATCTTAGAATAGCAAATAAACACATGTTGATACTGAAACAGGGACTCAGACTTGTGAATTAACTTCAGGATATGATCAGAAAAATGAAGACAACACCAAATGACTAGGTTATGTCAACATGCAATATTAAGGCAGAGTTTGGGCCCTGCTTTTAGTAAGATGCTGGATTTCAATGGAAATGTCCGAAGCAAATGCCTGGTATTTATTGCCTTAGGGCTTAGACATCGGTGTCGGCAACTATTTTGGAGACATGCATTAATATTCTGACATTTTAGTACAATAGATGCGAAAATCATTTTCCTTAGCTATATATGACACAACCAAATGGAAACGATAATACTCTACTTGTACATAATAATTTGTACATGGAGGTGTACATATTTTCACATGGATAGGATCCACATGAAAATTTCATTAAGATGGGCCCTACCTCATGTGAGTAGTATGTACACCATTATGTACAAATTATTATGTACATGCAGCATTTCCCAATGGGAAATGTGATGCCACTTGGTTTTCCCATTGCCTACCATTTGATTATTTCTGTTTCAATTTTTTCTCAACAAGAACTCGAGTTCCTACTAGCCTAAAGAGCTCAGCGATGTGCTTGATCCACATTTTCCTATCTATATATAAGAAAAATCCCCAATGGTAGTTTGCATTAATAAACAAACTTCATTTTGAATAACTTATTTGCTAGATAGGAAAGCTACAAATGAAATGAGGTGTACTACCTATGAATGAGAGCATGTATAACCGATACTCAACACAACAAAAAGATGCATAGACGTCAGTAAAATGGATCGACTCAGTCTGAAATATAAATAATCAGATTCCTAAAATTGTTTCTGGGAGTAAATGCATGGGCCATGTGGTATTTAAACAAACTAAGAGACCTCTTTTTAGCTTGCGAGAGTTTTGGCGTAAGAGAAGTTTCAGATGTGTTCTTCTGCTGAAAGACGAATGCAGACATTATCGCGACAGCTTCTTCTGGTTCCAGATCATTCAGTTGATTTTCAAATAAGCATTCGGTGCATATCAACTCCTCCCCAGAATTCATCTCACAGGCAACACGACCTTTAATTTGTACCACAAGATCAGCATCAATGCATCCAATTTCTTTCAAAACATCAATCTGCAGGAGAACAATAGCTTGTCGAATGAAGTTTGGGGTGGCATATTAAAAATAAACGATCAGAATAGATACAAGGATTACAAAATAAATTGCAAATGTACAGAGAGGTGAGGCAACATACTCGACCCTGAAAGTCAGGCATCTGCTGAAGTGCTTCATCTGACATTTGAAACTTTAAAGAATTTACTTCCTCTCTGTGGCGCTTCAACTCCTGAGCTAATTTCATGTTCTCCTCTAGTTTAGGGCAGCCAAGGCACTTACTTTCGGACATCTTTTGCAATAACTTTGTTAATTTATAGTAATCCTCAACAACCTTGAGGTCTTTCAGCTTCAAATCTGGCCCGAAACAAAACACGCAAGGTCAATCAAACAGAATATAAGAAATAAAGAAACAAAATGTGAATGAAAAGAAGAAAACAATAAAGGAATGATTAGTTCTGATTGTCTATCCACATTGTACCCTTTTTCTCCAATTAAATTATCTTATCGTGACATCTTTTCAAAAGTATTACAACATTTATCACAATTTGGGAGTCCAAAATATTTTGTTGTTCGACTAATTGAATATGAATGGGAAGTCACTGCCGAACCTTTTGCTGGATCCAAAGCTGGTGGATACTTATTTCCATCAGATTTCAGAGCTAAAAGTTGTTGCACTGTACTTGAATAGGCCCCAGCACTAATATCTTCAAGAAGCCGAACTTGGTCGATCTTTATTTTGCAATTGCATATGGATAAAAACTCATTATTCTGAACCCCTCGAACCTCGAAATTCATCCCAGCAGCAGAACCACGGTGAGGTAGTTTAATATTTACAACTCCGGATCCTTTACGTGATGTAGCTGAAGAATAGTAATCATCTTCCAAGCCACGTTTTGATTTCGGTACTAGTACTTGAAAATCAGCACCTTTTCTTTCTGTGTTGTCTGATGCTTTCAAGATTGTAGGAAGCTCAGGAGTCAGCACTAAAACTATGTATTGCTTATAAGTAGCTGAAGGTGATTTCACGATTACACCCAGTAAGTGATCTTGGGCCTGCACATTATAAAAGAGGGGAAATCTAAACCATCATCCCTTGTTTTCTATGCAAAACTGCATATGCAGATTAGTTTAATAAATAAGAACATCTATCATCAACTACTGCGAGGACTTGCATAATAAAGGACTTCAGTATCCCAATAATCCTCTGACCACAAGTCAATTACAAGATAAATTCCAAAATGACAGCAAAATTATCATAGCCGATAATTTGAACAAGGTTCATACAACTTGAAGGAAAAACTGAAATTCTGTATTTCTCAATGATCTCAATGATACAAGGCGCTCTATTTATATATACAACTAAGAGAATCATCATCCTAATCAAATCCAATTTAATCCCTTAATTATAGGAAATATATATCCTTTCCTATAAGACTTTTGTATTCACACAATATACATTAACACAACTAACTAGATATTTTGGGTAAAACAAGGAAAAAGAAGGGAATAATATATAAACTGTTTGCATTAATTTTATCTTTCTTTGACAATTTCGTTTCCACAAGAACATTCAAAGTCCAAAAGTAATACTAACCGGTCCAAATAAATCGAAGATCGTATATGAATCCAAATGAAACATCCTTATATTCATGTACACAAGCAATTTTGTCACTTCTGACCTGGTATTTCAATTATCCGTACATAAGTCATAGACGTAAACTCACCAATTCTGATTTCACCACTACGACCCTTCCTGGGGTTAGATACTGTTGGGAAACTGGAGAGAGCATGACTGCCTCTGTGATCATACTGCGGTACTTTTCAGCCTCTGAGTGCATCTCATAATAATCCTCAATATCTGGTTCACCTTTTATGCATCTACATCAATGTATACAAACTCAATGAAGTTTATACTACCGCAAGAACTTGTCATGTTTGAATGAAAAGTGTGTCAAAAGGTCACAAGTAGGCCTGGAATATCAGAAGTACATTAGTTAGCATTTTTAATGAAATACAGGACAAGAAGATTTAGCAACTTGTGCGGGAAAATATAATATTCTGGTGGACTTAGAGAAATATGATCACACAATCCAATAGACTGAATCACTGACGTTCATGCTCCTAAGCAACCACTTAGAATGAGCAAATCATAATTATTCAGAGCTAGTGCACATTTATTAGTTTCCCCCATTACAAACTGTAACACGAAAATAACTATTTTGTTTATGCTTACTCAATAACTTTTGTAGGCTGAGCAAGCTTTCGCATTAGAAGCTGTTGTTGCTCTGGAAGTTTCTTCTGAGCATGAAATTCAGCAAAACTTCTTTTCAGCATGTCTTCCACCTGCAGTGATTTCACCAAAGAACATAATCAAGCAAACAGGTGTGTTATCCTACCCCTCCAATACGTTCAATCAGGAAATAGCCCCATTATCAACATCAAACTATCATGTTTTCAAATTAATCGTTTTATATTCGTATAGAGGAATACATTTATTCCTGAAAATAAAGGAGTGTTCGTTGAGTAAAACCATTATTCTAAATTCTTCAAGAGGGAAAAAGGGAAAGGGAAAGGGAAAGGGAAAGGGGAAACAACATTTATTGCAACACAACGAAAGGAATGCAAACCAAACTCCTGTTGAGAGCAAAAGTTCACTGTTTTGTATTTCGCGGTATTCAACTTTCAACATATCCATGATAGGAAAAATTCAAGTTTTGCTGCTATGGAGACAGATTTCATGGCAAGGCCATCAGCACAGGTACTGTAGTTTGACAGCCAGCAAGACATTCCTGTGGTCAAGAGGTGTTGGGGTGGTAGTCATAGTCAGAGTAGAATGGCATGGGCTCTGCAGGAGGCTAATAGAGACTAGCTAGTCATTAACATTGGATGGCCATCATGATTCATGGTTTCACATCTTCACTTTGGCACATAAAGATATAATGCTGTTAAAGTTGTTTCCACCATCCATTAATCGTTCCGCTTCTAACCGCAAATGCGCTACTTTGAACATTCTCCAAAAATCATCACCATGTTTTCTTGAAATTCTCAAAGAAGGATGCTATTGGAAAAGAGTTATCAACCACTTGAATAGTGCAAAAAGAAAATATTTGAGGCTGCTAAAGAACAGAGTGTTGCAGCAGACATGGACAAATCTTACAATGAATGAATTCCTATGTCTGCAAGCCAGTAGACATACTAAAGCAGACTGAATGAGCAAAGCGAAGTTTAAGAGTGTACTTTGACACCGAGAGCACTATGCTATATGTAACATACAGTCAGGAGCTGCTTGATTGACAGCTGGAAAGTTTCAACCAAGCATTGGACATAAAGACAACTAGAAGTAAGTAGTTAGACAGGTGTTCTTCAGATATTATTTCTAATTCCTCTCGAACTTGGACCTTTCTAAATTGGGCTAAATGCTTTTACTCTATCAAAAATCGGACCATACGTTGCACATAGTCAAGAGCTGCTTGACTGACCGCTGGAACGTTTCAACCAAGCATTGATCAAAAGACAACTAAGGAGTGGTTAGACAATTTTTTTTCAGTATTATTTCTAATTACTCGAACTTGGACCTTTCTAAATTGGACTCACTTCTTTTACTTTATCAAAGACTCCTGCTACACAATTAAATAAAATTATTTCACCAATAAGTTAAACATAATTATACCTTCAATTCCTCGACACGGAGCAGATGCAAGATCATGATATAGGTTAGTCGAAACTGAGATTCAAGCCTAGTTGCACTGCCAACTATAACGTTTTTCAAGTCCCTCTCTTCAGGAATTTCATCACGGCAAAGCACAACAACTGTACCAATTTTGTCCAGTCCCCTCCGGCCAGCCCGACCAGCCATCTGAGTATATTCACCAGGAAGTAATTGCCGAAATTCTTTTCCATCAAATTTCCTTAAAGCATCAAATACGACCTGCCACGGAAGATTAAGTCATTACAAAATCACAAGAACTCATGTAGTTCAAAATCTTTAACCTGGTACCAAAACGTTAAATAGAGAAGAAAAATGCATTCTTAACTGAAGCCGAGAGAAGCCAATGGATCGATATTTACAAGCATGGAGAAGATGAAAGAAATGTTATTAAATTAAATCTGACAAGTCAAATTTTAAATACTTTTTCTCAGACAAAGAACAAATGGGATGTAATGAAAATAGTCTACTGTACATGTATACAACTAAATCTTTGCAATCCTGGAATCATGACACGTGATTTTAAACCATGCCAATGGTTGGAAAAAAACTCAAAATCTAAAACAGGGAACTTTGAATAATTCTTAATTCCTAATCAAATAGAATCCAAATTGATTGATCTGCCAAACATTCTCTGCTAAGATATTCAGTGAAAGTTGCATGACAGGGGTCCACAATTGTTACACAATGAATTTGGAATTCCCATGTTTAACAAAGAGAAAAAGAAATTTGGGATGTGGAATGATGTAAATAAAGAAAAAAGAACAAGGTGGAACTGTTATGAAGTTTCCCTTCTCCATTTTTCTTCTCTTTATTATTTTCTTATCAAGCTTCTAATGCTACAACAAGATAAGAGAAATTATGACCCAATACAAATCTCATCAATCATAACATGATTAACATCTCTGCCAGTGTTCCATGCACTACGCTCATGACAATCTGAAGTGGCTGAATCAAAAGATAGACATATACAGAAATTAGCCCCATTTCTTATCTTTGCTAGCTACTTCCCAAAATCCTTAGGGGAGGAAGTCTTGCATTAACCAACTTGTAGATTAATCATCCCAAGGAACAGTTTCCTGCATGGTCCTTACAGTGTCTTGCAAAGATGCACCAAAGTTGGGTTGCATAATCTCACTCTCCAAACAATTCTGTTTCTGGGACAACTATCGAAGTCACAATGAAGTACATGTGCTAAGTTCGCTTAACAGAATTCTCTGTCTTCTTTACTGCAACATTTCCTTAAGGGCCAAAGCTTTTATCTCCATGGTTCCATTTAGGGGAAGAAAGAACGTGAAAAAACCATCGGGAACCTTCCATCTCTCAATGGCACTACTCAACTAATGCCTTTTTAACTACTACAAACAAGTAAAGCAAGTAGCAAGTACACAAAAATTGCAAACTCAAAAAATGCTCACTGAGATACAAATACCTTCTTCCAAAGAAATTATTCAAACACTCTCATAGCACTGTCTTAGGAGCAACTTACCGTCCTTGCTGGGGCATTGACTCCCATTGCAAATGTTTCTGTAGAGAAAAGAATCTGCAGATAACAGAAGTATCAAAAATATTAGAGAGCCAAGATAAAAGGAACTCCATGCATGAGTATTTCTACATACATAAACAAAAAATCAATCAATAAAATGAAACCAATTTATATTCTCATTTCTCAAAAGGATCTAACATTACTGCAGTATTTAGTAAAGATTGGAACACTGTATAATCTATATTTATATTTTATAGAGAATTGAACACCTGAGGCACATTTCAACAACACGGAATGAATTTACTGAGAGTTAATATGCATTAGCTTTGGGGCCAGACATAATCTAAGAAATTAAATATTCAAGAATCAATATAGTTTCTTGTTTTTCAATTTTTCTTACTTTAATTCTAATCTTTTACTAAATTTTCTCATCACCTAGAAGCCAATCTCAAAAATCAATATTTGTATAGGCACCTCCCACATTCAAACCAAATATATAAACCTTCAATAAGTAAAGAAGTTTTCCACACATAGGTTGTGTAAAAACATGTACTTATTATTATTATTATTTTTTTTTATAAAATTAAATAGTATATATACAAAAACAATTTTACATATTCAAAATATATATAAGGTATGCATTTGTCCACGCAACCATGAGTAATTCATGTACAGTGCATTTTGAGATTTAAGAAATTCAATGTTTGTGTTACGTCACTTCTATTTAGGTATCTTTGCACCATATGTACCAGCAAATTCTGTCAACCATTTCATCATTGCCCATGCAATATATAAATTTAGGAAAGACCTATAAACCATAACAAGAAATTCCTATCCAAGAGACGTACAAATTTAATGTTTTACCTTGATCACCCCCCGACAGAAAAGCATTTCAACAACTTCCTTCACAATTGGAAGTAGTCCAGCATGGTGCACGCCAATTCCTCTCCGAAGCAGCCCTTGAACTCTAACAACCTGTAAGTATATCCATATCAAGATCCACAAACCCAATTTTATTTTGCCAATAAAGGTATATAAACAAAACCTGGGGCAGATTTCTGTCTGACCCTTTGAGCCTTGAGAATGCTTTGTCACAGAACACCCGAATTTCACTTTTCTCAGAGCTAGAAGTAAGGTCAGTCCCAGTCAAGTTGTCAGCTGATTTATCACAGCGGTTTTTCGAAAAGCAGAATATAACCACCTGTAGACACAAGTGTACCGGTTAAGAGAAGATTCTTACTTCCGAACAAGAAAAAAAGTCTGTCCACAATGACGTCTCATTTCAAGTAAGTAAATAATATAACTACGAACATGTATAAAGAATAGTAGAGTTCTTGTCCAACAACAAGAACAACATAGCCTTTTAGTCCCAAACAAGTTGGGGTAGGCTCTGAGAAATATGAAATGTGTTTGTCGAGGATAAGGAACGTTGTTATATACAAAAGCATAACCTAAAGGTCTGATGTACCGCCAGTATATATATGTATATATAGACAGGAAAATAAAATGAATATATATATCTGACACATACAGGTAGTAGGGATTTTTTTGAAAGCTTATTGATAAGCGACATCCATACGGAAGCTTCAAATCTCTTCGAACCCCAATTGTTGCTAGCACTGGATTGAGCCCCAGAAGCAGCACCAGATATATTCCAGGATCCAGAATGCTTGTTCTGCTTTGTATGAGAGGAAGTTTCACGTCTCAAGGACCTAGACCTTTCATTGGCTGCGGAAGATCCATAATGAGGTCCTGAGCCTATTACAGTAGCTGAGTTCTTCTTCATATATGCATCTTTAGCAGCTTTTAACCCCTGATATATAATTTTTTCATTTTCACAGATTTTATAAAGCTCTCCAGAATAGAACAGGCAGTGCTCCAGTGGAACTGGTCTTTTCGTAGTACTGTTTAAGAGAAACAAAAATTTAGAGACCTACACTAAAACAATTGTTACAAATGTGCTACTTGCAGTGTCCTTCCCTAAGGTTCAGCCAATGTAGACTTTTGCTAAGTCGTCTGACACTTACCTGGTAAGGATTTACAACAAATTAAAGTTCCCCTTTGTTTTTATCATTTATGAGGCATATTGAAGAAAATCTTACATTACTAAAAATAGCTATTATTTCACATGAACTTATATTTACAAGCTATAGACAACTGTCCACATATCACAAATCATTACACCAGATGTCTCAGCAGGTTTAATTTATGATTCCAAATTATACTATTAATAGAGACAATATGATGATGTTTAATAATTTCATCTAATATCTATAACGTCGCAAAATTTCATTTCTTTTAAAAAGATAAGCAATATAAATGCAATATTATCGAAAACCACAGAATATATGAAAACATGAGCAACACAATTTGGAACACCTAATAAATTTTTAAAAATCTTCTTTTTCACCACTAACATTAGGAAAATGAAATGAACGAGCACTCTAGAAACTAAAAAATAATATAGAATACCTTATAAATTTTGATCTTCTTTCTGTTACCACTAATATGATGAAAATGAAATGAACATAGCACTGTAAAAACTAAAAAATAAATAAGTACACAAAACTCTTCTATTTAGCTATTATTATCATTGTTTTCCCAATCAGTCTAGAACATACATCTTCAAGTACCATAAAGGCACGCCATCGTAGCATCTCCTCTTTTTTTCCACTAAAGTGACAGGTAGAAAAGACAAATGAGCTTTACAACTCGGAATCATCAAATCCAGAACAATGCACGGGTTCAAATTCATTTATATGGTACCTAACCCAGATTTAAATTTGGAAATTCGAGTTTATGAGCAGTTACCCTAATTGAAGGCTACAAATATCATGTCTATTATTTTATTCTTTTTCTTTGTTCAACAAGTGCTGAGCTCATATATTGTAAAAACCCGACGAAAGGTAACGTAGTTGTCACTTGGGATTCTCAACAAAATGGATAACCTCTGAGGTTGCTGTAATTCAAGATACACAGGAGATAGGAGATGGTGTGTACTAAATAAGAACAATACTGATATTGATTAATTCGATTCTCATAGTGTAGGTGATTTATTTAGTTGAACTTTAAACAATAAGATTTATAACACAAATTTTAGTTCTAGATGTGATTGGACATGCCTAGGCAAATATATGGGTAACCTTAGGAGACTACAGTAAATAACCATAGCATTTAATATACATGGCTGCCTTAATCACACTAAAATGTCAAGTCATATGAAAATGTATACTGCTGGAGGCCAAAGTTTCATATAAAAAGAGTGCCACCAACCCAGTAACACGAATTTGCTTTTGCTTTGTCCGACCAATCCAATCAGCAAACTCAATTGTGTTTGGTACCTAGAAAAAACAAAGAGATATTTTGACATTACAAAAGGATAAAACTATCCGATGTTGAATTAGAATAGAAGTACCAAGTACAACCTGACGACATAAGGTTTAGCAAAATTAAATTGGGGAAAAAAAGGGACCCACCCCGCCGGCTATCATAGCACATACTGATACACTAGAGAATATACAAGGCAAAATTGTGATTAATTTTCATCCTCAAGCTTCAGGGAACATTTCAGAGGCCATCCGACAATTTAAAATGGTACCTCATTTCTCAATTTAACATCGCTGGTGAAAAAATATTAAATTAAAACTAGAGAGAAAGAAGGAAATGGATTATATGAAGAAACTGGGAGATCATTCCTCAAATTCAACCTAAACATATCGCCTTAGAAAAGAAGTCTCGAATATAAATGGTTAACCCAATTCAGAAACTGTGATGGTATAGAAATAAAAGCTCAATTGTACAACCAAATTCAGAAATCATATATGGCATGGCCTGATGAAGCGTACAAGCAACAAACTAGATAAAATTCACCCTGCGGTGAGAAAAAGGGAGGTGCCATTTTATCAAATATATCATTCAGAAATGATGCATACCGTGGCTGAAAGTAGCACAAAGTTGATATGTCTGGGCAGCATGATAATGACTTCTTCCCAAACCACGCCTCTTTCCACATCATTAACATAATGCACTTCATCGAATATAACCTATCTTTCCAAACACAACAGAAGAAACAACAAAAGTGTCAGAACTATAGCCATTAAAGGAAACGTGCAGAATTGGATACAATTGGGCAACTTGTGGGATGTCAAAACTGAAAAAGGACAACATAAGAAAGGAAGTTCACCCATTCTATGTCGCGTATGATGTCAGCACCCTTGTAGAGCATTGATCTTAATATCTCAGTGGTCATTATAAGACAAGAGGCCTCAGGCCTCAAGCTAACATCACCAGTTAGAAGGCCCACATCAAACTTTCCACAAAAGTCTCTGTACTTCTGATTGCTGATGGTCTTAATAGGAGCAGTATATACGGCTCTTGTGCAGTGCTGCATATTCGTCCAGAGCATTATGAATCATAAGCTATACAGGACATTAAATTGGTAGTTTCAGGATGAAAAATAAAAGTTAAGAAGTAAAACTAAAGACATATTTCACAACTATAATGGAAATTACAACACTAACTGCAAAAAAAAAAAGCCCAGGTATCACATGACAGACTCACTTTTGAAGCCAAAGCAAATGCATATTCGGCAACAACAGTCTTCCCAGCTGATGTATGAGCTGCCACAAAAACAGAATCCCCTCTTTCTAGATAAAATATGGCCTGTCAAAGAACATTATAGTTCATAAAAAGACCAAGTAGACAATCGGTAATATATAGCATGACCAACTTATTTTAATAACCAATGGCACTGCTAAAACCATTCATTAAAATAACTATAATTTCCCCAATTCATAATAAAGAGAAGGAAAAATACGAAAAAACATCCGCGGCATTTGACTTGTGTTATGGCTCCATACTTCAATGATATAAATAGCTTTCAAAGATTATTGGTTATTTTGGGATTATGCTAAACCTGAACGTAAATTTTATAAACATTAATATCTATAAGGTGGAATATATCGCACCAATTAACCTAAGTCCCCACAGAATGCAAGGGGGAAAATTGGCTTTTCATTCATGTCATGATTACATGATTCTTCATATGATGATTGCAATTTAAAGATAAAGATAACTACATTGAGCTTACATTAATTGTTTTAAAAAATTGTCAATATTGACTTCACAACAACCAATACCTCCTTTTGGAAAGGATCAAGTTCAAAAGGGAACTTAAGTGCCATATCAGGAACAAGTTCATCAAATCGTTCTGCAATTGCTTCACTGCCACCTTTGAGAGCCCAAATCTAGAGATGAAAGATACTTTAGTTGGTCGTTAATCAAATCAAAACTTCAGTATATTGCGATTAACTTGTATAAACATTCAAGAGAGAACAAATATTAAGTGAACTATGACCTCCTTCGGCTGTTCTCCACCGACATCTGTATTACCATCCAATCTAGCAGTTGATTCCACTGATTCAACAGACAGAATTTCATCCAAAAGAGATTGTTCTTGTCCGATAACATCGTTTACAGCATTGGTATCTTGTTCTTTAGCTTCTATTTGAAGGGATTCATTCACAGACTCTATCTTAGTCTCTGACTCTGGCATACGACAAACATAGCAATTGTTATTTTAGCATCATAGAATAAGGTCATACACCATATTTGATAAACTTAAGAGACATATTTACTTCACCGGATATAAAAATAGATACAGTTCTACTGAATTTGTTCATTGCATCAACCATGAAGAATTACAAGTTTTAAAATAGAGTATCAAGCTACCATTAGTATCAAGCTCACGAACATTTCAACCCATGATGTAAAAGTAGATCAATGTTTTCAGAAGTATCACGGGTGCAACTGACGAAGAAACTCCCAATGTGGAGAAGCAAGTCTATTGTTCTTGCAGAATAAATCTCTTTAACTAATCAAAGAAAATCCTCTTCTATTAACATATTGAAGAAAAAGTAACTTAACAAATAGCACTTGCCTCCTGAAACGCAGTAAGTAAAAATAAAATGAAGGAAAAAACTAATTTAGAAAAACATTGCTTCTAATAATACATGGAACATAAAAGGCTGCCAGGACAGCTCTAAAGGAAGGAACACCACCTACCTCAAAGTATTATCTTCTTTTCCTCTCATCTCCTAATATCTCCTATTTTCTAGAACACTAACATCACATTGGTATTTGGTAATCAAAGTACGGAAGTAGAATGGGCTGCTTTTCACAAAATTAAACCTTCAGTGAAGATTATATCCTCACAGCTATTAAGCTCCAACCAAATTAAGTTATTATATCTATATATAAATGGTTCCAAATTTACACCCAGGAAACACTATGGAACTAATTTAAATGATGAATATAGGTTTTTTTTTGTGTCCCAGGCTCCTGTCATCCTAAGTGCACTTCCATAACCCTTTATAAACTGCTTGTTGGTAGTGTATATGTCTAATTCACACAAACTAAAACATTAGTGAATCAACAGAGATCACAATATTTTTTTTTAAATCTTAAAGCTAGGGTAGGTATAGCTTCAATATAAGAGAGAGACCATATAAACGACACATATCAGCTCAGGAAAAAGGCATTGCATGATCAACCATTGTATACTTCACATAGAACTAGAAAAGTAATATGCACTCTAGACAAACCATCTCCCATGAAGTTCATGGCATCATCCTCCCAAGCTTTGCTGAACAAGTCATCAAACTGCACTGATAGCTTGCTCTGCATTTTAACATGAAACAAATCAACACTATGAAAAGAAATTAAGAATCGCAAGTAATTCATTTGCAAGTAGATCCTAGAAAAAGTGTGCATCACACGCGAGGGATCATATATTGTCCTTGAAATAATACAAGAATATAATAATAAACATGGTGAAGCTAACCAGCTTAGCATCTGACGTGCTGTCATCCAAATTTGATTTCTCATAGACATTCCACATGGAAGATTGTTCCTTCAAAATATTATGAATGCTAATTACGCTGATGTTATGTTCATATAAAAACGTGAGAATTTAATGTAGTAGAAGAAACTAGGATCCTCATTGCTGTGAAAACAATTACCTTGAGATCACCTAAATGCAATCCATCCTTAAAACCTGGTGGATTTACTTGCGCACGACCCCCAAGCAAAAGCTCACGTGCCCATTCACCATTGCAAGCACCTTCAGGAAAAGTTTTTCCCGAAGAATCAGTATTCAATCCACCTGGGCGGAAAGGACGATTGTTAATACTTCCCCTCACAAAATCCTTTGCAGGTCCAACAATACGTGGCAAAGCCCCAGACTCCTGAGCTCCTGCTGTTAGATCTCCTACATCCACCTGTAAATACCAGAAAATCAACTCTGCAAGGAAGTATGAGTCTGTTTTCTATAAATGGCAGAAGTTAAATAATTTCGATAAGTGAAGAAGCATGAAATTACAAGTGAAAAGTTCTTAATATCAAAGCCTTATCGTTTCATGTTCTGGACCTTCTGGTCTTCCTAAAAAGATAGTGATTCATTATAAGCTGAAATTGCTAAAGTAGAGCTGATATATTTGCATTATTCTCAATCACAATACATTTGGAAAATATTTGAAATTAGCCAAAGGGTTGCTGGGCACGCCTATGTGAAACTGACGCGCAAGGCAGTGCACGAGCGCCTTAGATATACTATAAGCATTTATTTTCTCCAAGAGAGCAGGTATAACTGCTGACAAGAAAGACAGAAAAAGCACTACGTAATAGGAAGGAAATCAACACCATAAAACTACAGAATTTTTAGAAGGCTTACTACTTTTACGGTGTCTTAAATTATAATGAATCAGCTAGAGTTTCTATTTACTGCTTGTCGACAATTTTGTTTTTATTGTCACTGCCTCTTCTTCATTGAAGCAATAAAGTGATAATGTGCCTATCAGAGTATATAAAACCGATTTTTTTATATGTGTATCATTCAGGCAAAATGAGGCATCGACGCCTTAGGATCCCTCTCGCTTTTCGCTATTATGAACATAACAAGCACATGAGATACCATAAACCTCATCAATGCTACAAACCATATTTTTTATAAAAGTGGTTTCAGTAGTACACACTCAAACATGAAAGTCAAATGATTGTACATGACTTAAATCTTTTAATTTCCTAGTAGTACAACAACTCAATACACTAAGATTTAAACTATAAAAGTAAGGGACAGATGCAAGCACCCACTCTTCCGAGATGTGTCACCTCCTCATTATCCCAATTACAATAAAGAAGAAAGCGGCCAAGTGCACTTCACTGTGATCTCAAAATATTACCTCCACCGACTCAGGCTCCCATCTCGCCGACTCAGGCTTCTTGCGCCTGCAAGGCATTTCCCAAGACGGAACAACCACAGAGCGTGTCATTGATGGTTCTGGCAGAACTTCAGCTCTGTCAAACCAGTCAAACCCCCATTGTCTGCCAGCATTTTGTGGAGAAAAAACATCTTCGTCCAGCCTTGGGAGTAAATGCTTCTCCTTAATGAACTCCTCAATCATTTCCGGTGTCTCCTTAGGGAAAGCCGGTGGCTGTCCATCAAACACGTGACAACATTCATACAATCAGTGCCTCCAGAATTCAACCTCAATAAAGCGCAAAAAACAAAAAAAATAAAAGTAAAATAAAATGTGCCCACTAATCGTTCAAGCTACATGAAAAAGATATTGGTGAAGCTACAGCATACCAACCAGAGACAAAAAGTGCCCGCCCAAGGGAATGTAAAACTAGCACAGAACTATAACAAATGCTTACAAATAACCCTAACTGGCAAATATCTGCCGTCGCCAACTGAAACGCTGTTGTTCAAGCTAATTTTGCAACGGCAAAAAGAAAACTAACCAGAATGAAATCGGGGAGAGTATGGACGGAGTCCGGACGCTCGACAGGCGGCAGAGGCTCAATCCTGAGGTGGCCGCCATGGCCGGAGAATCCGACCCGAAACGAAAGCTCGTTCGCCGCATTTACACGATCCATTATGCCCTGCTTCACTTTTTCTTCTGACCGACTCGTTCGTTTCTATCAGAGCTGTCGGGCTTCGGTGGGTACACTGTTTCGAGTTTTATTTTAACTTCCGCAGAGAGAGAGAGAGAGAGAGAGAGAGAGAGAGAGAGCGTATGTTGCTGCGACTGTTTGTGAGTGTATTTTTTCTTTTTAGAAAAAACTATTAATAGATGGGTCCATTAAAGTAAAGGAGAATG